CAACTGTAGCAGCAGTAGTAGCAGCCGTAGCCACAATAATAGCAGCAGTAGCAAGATTAGCAGTAGCAGTAGCAGCAGCAGCAACTGTAGCAGCAGTAGTAGCAGCCGTAGCCACAATAATAGCAGCAGTAGCAAGATTAGCAGTAGCAGTAGCAGCAGCAGCAACTGTAGCAGCAGTAGTAGCAGCCGTAGCCACAATAATAGCAGCAGTAGCAAGATTAGCAGTAGCAGTAGCAGCAGCAGCAACTGTAGCAGCAGTAGTAGCAGCCGTAGCCACAATAATAGCAGCAGTAGCAAGATTAGCAGTAGCAGTAGCAGCAGCAGCAACTGTAGCAGCAGTAGTAGCGACAGACCGTGAGAGAGCGAAGTGTTACAACCCGAATATCATGTGAATTGCATTCGTGTTTTTTCACGTTTACAATATATATATATATCTTACATTATATTATATACTTAAATAATTCCAAATTCTACTTAATATGGTTGGGTTGCCACTCCCGGTGTAAGAACGTGTGTGTTGTTGAACAGTATAGTTAGTACTAGTATTAGCTCGCACAAGGAGGGCAGAATATATTTTGTGTTTTGATCACTTGGTGGCAGCACTGCTTAACGGCCAACATTGGAAGTGATGAGGGTACAATTATACATAGATGAAATATAGATTTTTTAATTTATTATCGTGTGATATTGCTTTTCACCAATCACATATCTATATCTACAGCTATACATATATATTTATATGATAAATTTTCTACTGATTGCAAACTGATAATAACGAAGCGATATTATTGTGCAGGTATATTTCGATTCGTATTTTGCTACGAAGGATCGTGATTCATACAAAGACTGTATAGATGCTTTCTATATAATAGATATTAAGAAAGATTATAGATGTTTAGAAGTTTAGATGAGTAGTAGGATGTATCGTAAGTTTATTTTTTCATAAAGTACCTTTAGAACGTATTTCCATCATCGGTACTCATAGCGATATTTTATCCCTCTACCCCTGTTGGATTTTGCGCAGGTTACGGCCGTGGGCAATCAGGGTTCTTGTACTCCTGTCTGTTTGTGATAATGAAATCGAGACTGATTGATTCTATTTTGCTACAAATTTCCTTGCGAAATTTTTTTTAACTGAAATTTACGAGAATCGCTTTTGAGCAATAAATATCTTGATTCGAATAATTAAATGCGTCTATAATGATATTTGATGTGCACATTAAGAGGGCAGTGATTTCCTTATATAATGACGTATATATGTACGTTGTAATACGTATGTATAACTTATATAATATCTTCATTTTTTATCGTCGTATTTCTGATTCGTAATTCTTTTCAGATTTTAATTGCCAGTACAGTTCTGACTATAGTCATAAATACAGTTGTATAACATATTATAATATGATATATGACTATGTTTACTGTATATACTAACTGTAAATGTTAGTATATAGAGATCAGTGACACCATTGAATATACACGTACATGTTGGCACGATAGTATATCAAACAACATTCATGAACAAAACTCCATTTTTATTTTACTTAATCTCAATTTTCACTTTTATTTTATTAAATAATTTGCAGTACACCGTCACGTGACGTTTCTAATCAGAATGGAATGTTCACTCGCGCACTTGATCCATGCATTACTGACGATTTTAATATCAGTACACACCCACCAGTGACCTACATGCACAAAGGCACGCACGCACGCACGCACGCACACATCAATATGCTATATTGACATATGTATAAATATAATATAGGTACACGTAGTACTATAGTCCCACACGATATAAAATATTAATTCTCTCGTCTTTTATACCTCAATGTACAATCCGTGATTGAAAATGATACTTATTACTAAAATAAAATTCCCCCATGTAGCACATGATTATTTAATTGAATTTTAATCAACGCACGCATGTGCATCTCAGTAACGACATCAGAGCTAAACACGTTTACATTACACAAATTATATTAATAAGAAAAGATAAATAGATAAATATTAATAGAAGAATTTAAATCTGGAAACAGACAAACCTGCAAATACGTTACTCAAAATTCAAGCAAAATCACTGACTTGAACTAACACGTAGTGGTTACTTGTTCTTACGTCCTAGGCAAGGCTTTCGTAACTGTATTTCCCCTCACCAACGGACGACCATTTATGCATACAGAATTTAATCACTATATAGCATTATAAGAATAAATATAGATATGATAGTTATTCATTGTCGGGTACCCCTTTCCTTTGAAATCATTTCGAGAATTAGTAATACCGAACTGCGCTGCAAGGACCCTCGTTCCAACCGCTTGTTCCATCTCACTTCTCGTGCCTTTCTTTTCCCATTCTTGCTTGTTCCATCTCGCTTCTTGTGCCCTTCTTTCCCTTCCTTGCTTGTGCCTTTCTTTTCGTTCCTTGCTTGTACCTTTTTTCTTCTTTGCCTTTCTTTTCGTTCCTTGCTTTTGCCTTCTCATTTCTCGTGCCCTTCTTTTCCTTCCTTGCTTGTTCCATCCCACTTCATGTGCCTTTCTTTTCCTTCCTTGCTTGTTCCATCCCACTTCATGTGCCTTTCTTTTCCTTCCTTGCTTGTTCCATCCCACTTCATGTGCCTTTCTTTTCCTTCCTTGCTTGTTCCATCCCACTTCATGTGCCTTTCTTTTCCTTCCTTGCTTGCTCCTCGCGTGTATATATACAGATGCCCGACTATGAAGCTTGACCGTAGACCCGAGTCGCTGTGAGGGAAATGACCGGGACAACACCCACTACTGCACTACTGCTCACCAAAGCACTGTTGCCTCCGCATCACTATCACGATATGACAACAAGCCACACCAAAGATGCGCACAAGCACGCGGCGTTTGTCTTTACATGTCATCCACAAGGAAGGCTCAAGCCTTGAGCAACATGACGACGCTACAAGATCGATGATTCGTTGGGGGGGGGGTATCGTTTTTGGGAAGCACGTATTATCAATAGCTAATAACACTGTCAGGAGCGCCATAATATAGACTATATAGACACTCCTAATACTATATTACTAGCACTCGATATTATCTGTAATTCCAAATAACGAGTTAATATTTGGCGCATAATACCCCGAACATTTCTCTATACGGCAGTAGTAGAGCGCAAGGTGGAGTTCTAAAACCCCCTTCTTGAAGGAATGACCCTGACTCTCGACCGTGGAAAGGTCAAAGGTCAAGGACATGTCCTCGGGGTGGATGAATTTAGAGTCCCACCTTGACTAACTACTGGTAGCACATGAGCACTTCACATACATTCACGGCGTTATCGAACCTTTTGTTCTACGACGGCAGAGATGCGGCGAGCGAGATTCGAGACCTTTAAATGAACCGGACCCTAAATTAGTTCCTGCATCACGAGAAATGGAAAAGCAAACCCCGACGTCAGTCTCGACTGCAGGCGAGAACAGGAAAAATGTTTTTTTTTTCACGGGAGCTCTTTTTCAAGTCTGTGGGAAAAATGTCTGTGAGAGCTATTTTGAGCCTCACGGGAGCGATTTCGGAGGTTTGAAGAGCGAATCGCTCATCGCTCCCGTGTATTTTTTACCCTGCCGCGAGAATCACCGCGCATATCCTAAAACTTAAAATCCGTTCCCGGAAAGCACGGTGCGCGCGCGAATCCGGGAAAACGGGAAGCGATGTTCGAAGGCACGGTGCTCTCGGACGAATCCGGAAAGAGGTGGCGGGATCGGCCGCTGCGTCGGACCGGGAAGCATCCGAGAGGCGGGGACCGTCCTCGAGGACGTGACCGGGAATCGTCCCGGATGCGGTAATCTCTCCCGCAAGTCGTCACTGGGAATCATCCGGGATGCTGCGATCCCAGGATGCGGGCATCCCGCGCGTTCCTCTCCCGGTCGTCGCAACATCCACGAAATCCGGAGCGCTCCCCGGAAATCCTTCCCCGGGAAGCGTTCCCCCGACGTCGCGAGCGGGCGCGGCGTGAATCTCTCCAGAGGTCGTCGTTACTGGCCGGGATTCACTCCGGTGTAGGGGATCTATCCCGGTCAACCGGGGCCTCGACTTCAAGGTCGTCGGGGTCGGCATCGGGGTCGCATCTCTGAAGCGCCTGGAGCGCATCCTCCCACGCGGCGAGCGACTGTAGAGGGAGAGAGCGAGAGTGTGCGAGCATGGAAGAAAGAAAGAAAGAGAGAGAGACAGAGAGAGAGAGAGAGGGAGGGGGGGAGAGAGAGAGAGGGAGAGAGATAGAGAGAGCGCGCGCGACCGAGAGAGATAGAGAGAGTGAGAGAGCGAGAGAGAGAGAGAGAGAGAGA